GCAACAAAATTATGGGAGGAAGACGAAGTTTAGAAAATTTTTAAGTTTTGCTTTAAAGGTTATAGAACAGAAGAATAGGGTAGTACAGAAGGATTACTGGTTTAAAAGACGACGGCATGTTCATTATGCTCATGGGCATGATCTAGTAGAAAGAAAACGGATGCAGGCGAGGGCTGCTGGCACTGTGTTCAAGTGAGACGGGGTTCGGAGCTAATGCTCCTTACCCAGGGCAAGTGCAGGAGCGGAGAACTGCTGGAGCCGTATCTGAGGAGACAGGGACAGGCTCGTTAGGTGCTTTAGCAGAATGTTTACTTACAAATACCAGGTACTGTATAATTTTGAAATAAGGGAGTCAGGAGAACCCAGATAAGGCAACTACAGTCATTTCAAACCCTAGCAGTTTGGACCAGCTGGGGAGCATTACTAAACAGACTCCAGCAGCCTTCCCTCCCGTCTTCTGAAGCAGTCTCTTGGGGTAGAACCTGGGGAAGTGCTCCAGTTAATACTGCTGATGCAATAAATGTCTCGTTTGGAACCCGTTTTCTTTAGGGATGTAAGTCCTTGCCAGAGGCCGAAGATAGCTTTAGTGTTTTAAACCCTTTTTCCAGATTGCCTGTGTCTGTTTTAACAGAGAATCACACCTAGTGATGCTCTTGTTAATAGTGATTTAACGAACACATTACAGTAACCGAGGCACAGCACCACACCCGCACTGCTTTTTACTATAAAAAGAGTGAGATGACTGTCTGTTAGCACTAAATTCTGTAGGTGCTTACTGGAAGCAATTTCAGGGAACTTTGGGAGCTCAAAGTGTGGCTGGTATTTGGACTAATCACCACCTACTGGGTCCATCTAATTATAACTAATTTCAAGAAGCTGCCCACACTTTTTACCTTCTGAAACTACCTCACACATTACCTGAAGTCAGTAAGCAGCAGATCAGCTAGGACATCTTTTGGGTAGGGTGATATGCATAAATTTGGCTGTGGGGGAAATTTTATTGATCAAAGTGAAGTCCAGAATTTATTTATTAACAAACATTTATTACTTGTGGCTCCATTCAGACTGCCAGCACTGATTTTCCTTTTCTCTTGCCCTCCAGGTATAAAAACTGCTCTTTTATAAACTTAAATCTACATGAAAATTCACACACGCTTATTACTTAAAAGAATGTTCAACATTTTAGGGTTTAAGAAGAGAGAACAATTTGCATTCACTCTACCCATACTCCTCCACATTTTAACGTACTGCTTGCATTCTAAAACACTAGCCGACCCTACCAGTGGTTCTCAGCTGGGGACTGTTTCCTTCCTCGACCCCAGACACTTTTGACAGTATCTAGAGGCACATTTTTGGTTGTCATCACTGGGGGAGATGCTACTGGCATCTAGTGGTAGAGGCCAGAGATGCTGCTAAACAGCCTATAGTGCACATGACAGCCTTGGCCCAAACTGTCAGTAATGCTGAGGTTGTCTGCATTGTCCATTAAAACCGGGCAGAATTATATCCACCTTGTTTGTGGCCACCCTGCACTATCCCTGTGTCTAAAACACTTAATGGGCACATGAATTACCTGAGGCTCTTGTGAAAGCCCTATACCACCTTTGTTTCAAAGAATTGGTGAAATATAATCACCACAGTTAAAAAGGGGGGGTGGGGAATCCTTTTTCTGTCTTCCACTAATTAGGTCAATTATAAATGTTCCAGTGTATTTATAACTTAATTATGCCGAAGTGGTTTTTGCTCACTTCATTATAGAAAAGCTGTGTTTGGAAAGAAAGCATGTGTGGAGAGGAGTTAAATGTACTGAATCATGCTTTCATATATTGTCTTAAAAAAATAACAAAACCTGGATTGTACTGGTTGAGGCAGAAACTCTATAGCTATTTAAAACTGACTTATTATTTAACATCCTGTCATGCAGTCAGTCAGAACAGAAACAATTTGGAGTTAGAACTCAGTTTTTGAAAATAGCACTCAAATCTTAGGTTATTTGGTATGTTAAAAGACTGATTCTGAAATCTTATCAGAAAATTAACTTCAGTGATTCCTGGAAGATGCTTACATTTAAAACACTGGCTTTATTCAAATACTACCCACCTGTACATTAAAAACAAGCAGATTAGAAGTAAATGTTTTATTCTTCCAACTAAATTCCAGTACTACAAGGGCAGTAAAACAATGATACACTGGGGGAAAAAAATGTAGCAATAAACACTTGTTAAAAAGACTGATAGAATAAATAAAAACTACCAAAAAAAAAAATAAGGAAATCATATAAACCCATTCTGGACAACCCCAAGAAGTCCTGGAATACAAAAATGCCCTCCTCCTCCACTATTTCACAGGAAGCACTGTAGGCTATTTGCTTAAAAATGTCCTGGAATTAACATTCTAAATTATTAATAACTGGTTACAGCTTGGTTGTAGTGCACAATTAAAATCACACTAACTTCATCTGAAGTGTCATTCTACAGTTTTATTTACACAACCGGTGAAGGGCACGTTCTTAGAATACCAGCTTTAATCCTTTTCAGACATTAATATAAGAAGCCAAATTGTAATGATACAGCAAATGAGGCCACTGGCATTAATACAAGTAGCAAAAGTCCACATCCGGGTGGCACTGACATCAGGGAAGTTTCCAAAACCGGTTGCTGCCTAAGAGTGGTTGCCACTGACGAAAGCTTGAAATAACCTGTATTCACAGGGGGGTATTGGCATTGCTGCATGTCATAATTGGGACCTCTTGCAACAACTCAACAAGGAACGAGGCAGCCCATAAATGCAGAAAACGTGATTCATGAAACATCTAAAGGGAGAGAAAAGGGAAATTAGTGCAAAGTCCAGGTCAGAATTTAAGTACATGCTGGATCCTCATTCCTAATATATTGCCCTAGGTATTAAGTAACCAGAAGTAAGCCTCAGTGAAGTTTTGCTGCCTGTTTCCTCCAAATGTTTGCTCCATGATTTTGTTAAATTCTCTTCTTGGGTGTGAAGATAATTAAAGTAAGTGTCTTCTCCTTAAAAGACTGTCTCATCTTCAGCTCAAAAATGAAATACTTACAACTAGCAGGCTGTTCTCCATATCGTCGCATTATTTGATCATGCGTAAACTTCACAAATGCATCATATTGTTCTATAAATAAAGGTACATGTGAATTACATGTTTTGAAAAAAACGCCCCATTCTCTAATATATTACAGCCAGAGAAACTGAAAACTCACACACACACACACACACACACACACACATATATATATATATATATATATAAATAAATTCTAAGTTAAAACTTAATCAGATATATAACCTCAGTAATAGCATATCAGATGGAAAGAGCACAGAGCTTAGTCAGGAAACCTGCATTAGTTCATATCACACAACCTCATGTATAGGCTGGGTAGGGTTTATTGCTTAATGTATTAAAAATAAGTCTTGAAATAAAAAGAGATCTTTCTCTGAAAGTTTATTGTAAGTGGTCTATGAATGGCAACTTACTGCAGTGACGAAGTAGGACAACAGAAGCCTAAATATATGATACGTCCAAAAATATTACCTGTAACCTAATCAGATGCCACAGAAAAAGATGTTATGTAACTAAGCAAATTCTCTCACGTCTATTAGCATCTTGATTTAACAAGAAGCTTACAATATCAATATCCAGCAAAATCTATGGCTTAAAAATCGGGAGGGGGAATGATTAAGTTACCATCCATAGTAAGTTTTATTTATTGCACTTAAATTATCAAATTTTATGGGGAAAAAAATTATGTACACAGTGCCACCTAGATTATTTCATGTGTCCAGACTGGTGGTGAAGTTATTGTGAACAATACAAAGTCAAAAAACCCACAACCAAATTGAGGTAAACAAAGTCAAGCACAGGGTGTATCAAAAGAAAAATCCAGGTCCCTAATACTGCTGCTGATCTACATGGCTAACAAATGCTATTAAAGGTCACTAAGGAGGGCCATGAGCTATAGGAAAGTTCATTTCCTTTTTCTGAATTGAAATTCTCAACTTCTTAGAAAGTACCCTACACCAGGGTATAGAAAGGGAAATCTAACTGACATGAAGTGTACGTGGGAAAGAATGCATTTCTTAGCTTGGGTTTCTGAGAGACTCTAGAACTCATCTCGTACCTGCAAGTTTTGTGTTCAATATTTCTTCATACTCTTCTCGAACTTTCTCTTCACGTTCTTTCAATAAACGCTCACAGATCATCCCAACCTGCCGTAGAGTGAATAAGGGCTGTTCTTTTTTTAATGGTGAGGATGCTGCTGATGGAGTCCCTATGCACAACATGAACAACAACAAAACACCAGATTTAGAGCTATCACAGAAAGCATCATCTAACTGACGTTTTATCTGAATCTTTTCAACGCTCATATAAAAGCATTTTCCGTATCAGTTTTTAGCACAGTATTTCCCAAGTAGTCTTAAAACAGGTTTAATCCTATCAGCTTATGATTTTGGGAAAACACAGCAAGATGCAGGCAATCATACAGGGGGAAAAGTCTGAAGGTGAGTGGAGAGAACAAGATAGAAACAAAACTTAACAGAAGTTTTGTTTTTAAATTAATGATACTAGCTAGGACAGACTCTGTAAAAAGAAATACTGAGAACATAGTCCTAATATTCAGCGTTAAATTTTATGGTTCAGCCTCCTTAAAGATTACGTAATAGCCATTTAGTGATATGTAATGCATGATATAAAAGATTTCCTTAGAATGCGTATTACTTAAGGCACTTTGATTTCCCAAAAACATCATTCTGTTCTTGAAAATAACATCTGAAATTCATCTTTCTGAGAATTCAGGATTATGATGCCATCCATGATAACACTGCTACATCCTATACACAGATTTGCTATCAATTGTTTGTCCAGCTCTGTTCATCTATCTGCTCCAGTTCCTTTTTTTTACTTGCTCCTTGTAACCTGCATGGCTGGGACAATTTAACTAATGTTTGAACTGTGTCTATCGACAAGCCGTAACTGTATACTGCTAGGTAAGAATAAAGTATACCAACGTTAGCCCACAGCTACTGAACTAAGGCTGTCTTTATTTACTTTCAAATTTGCTTTGTTAGCTGCCAGTTAACTGAGGTTGTACAAAGTAAACTGACAAATGATGATGAGCTTGCCTTCCTGCTGATACGGCCTCTACCTTCACCCCCCTTCCCAAGTTTCACTTCCTATACTTGGCCCTCCAAATTGGCAGTACTGCAGAATTTAGTTTTGAACAATTTCACATTTCCTAATTTTATTTGACTGGTTTATAGCCTTTGAAATGTTTTGTTATCCTGCCCAGTTTTCCTATCCCTGTTGGGAGGGGAAGGGAAGGCAGGCAGGCAACTACTGTCACGAGAACTGTTTAGCTGAGAACTTTACTGAAGCCAAGAGCCACTTTTGATGGCTCTTCTTCAGTAAGAAGTTTTACTTCACTTCAAATAGCACTCTTTTTATACCTTAAGGAAAAAAAAATATGTATTTACAAACTATTCTCTCCAACCGAAGGTAGGTAAAAACAGATACAGGATCAAAATAATCCACACTTAGGAATCTATCCTAAAAGACAAGTGTGTGAGTATATGCTCAGGGACATACCTAATAGAGAAGCATGTGGCTGTATATATGTATATGTTTTTAATGGAGGCTACAAATCATAGCACTTATGGGGACATCCACTTAGGGGATATAATATACAGGTGGTTGTCTTTGAGTCATGGGAATCCAGGTGGCGACTACTTATTTTGTATCCTATTTTTAAAAGATCGGCATTACTTGTATGTTTTTTAAAAATCAAGGGGAGAAATAGGAGCTTGAGTGACTAAAGGCAACTTGGATTACTTTTCCCGTGCTAGGAAACATTTCCTTTCACCTATTAAGTGTATCATTACCTGGTGAAGCTGGTCCGCTGAGGAGAAATGCATGTGGCTGTGCATCAGAAGTACAACATGGATCTGTCTGTTGGAAACTAGTTTCTAAATGTCTTCTCTTCTGCATACGCTTATACTCTTGCTTTATGTTGTACAGAATTTGTTCTAAAAGAAAAAAGTAAAAATTTGGCAAGATAAAACTTTCAAGTTAAAAAACAAAATTAGGTTGGGTTTCCAACAATTAATTACTAGAACCAATCTACCAAAAATACTCTCTTCAAATAGCTAGAAAACGTACGTCTGGGAGGAGTTAAGTTTCAGCACAGTGGGGACACCGATTCAGAAATAGCACATACACACTACTTGGAATTCAGCTACTCCACAATACCTTTCTTTCTGAGCGCTGATTAGCACAAACTAAGTTTTTCATTCAACATAAAGATAAGGGAGTCTGTAAATTGAAACACATATTTTACTCAGATTCTTAAGAGTACCCAATTCAAAGGTCATTTATGCATCACACACGGAACTATTTAACAGGCTTTTCCCAAGACCATAAATAATTAGAAGCAGGGAGAACTATGTAAATACAGGCACATACCAGTGAGAGATGACAGTAGTAGGTCAGCAATAATGACAGAGTAGATGCAAAGTAAAAAATCATCATACATTAAATGGCCGTTGCCATTAATAGTAAGCTCAACAGAACCTATGAATATAACAGCATTAACAGCAAAGTGTTCTGAATCTTGAGGTTAAAAACCCATGTAATGTGACTGGTATGTAACAGATACTCAGTAAGTTTAAGAATCACTATACCACAGTCCCATTATTTTCAACCACAACCATCGAAACATATCAAACTATCAAACATACCGTTTAGGCCAGTATGATCCATTTTAGAAGATTCCTAATTCAAAATAGTTACCATTTAGCCTCTTCAGAAAATCCCTTAGGTTTCCACTCCCTTCCAAACAGACTTTCTCACCACTACCACAGCTCCTAAATTAATAGGTTATCCATGTGAAACTATATCCCAAGAAGTTTATTAAGCCCAATCCAAAGCAAAATTAAACAAAAACTAAGTTAAGGTGGCAACAGGCAATAAAATGAATCATAAATATAATGGAGTATAACTTTAACAATTCTACAATGATGCAATTTAAAAATGAACTGAAACTCAACTGAAGGCTAAAGATTTATACAAGATGAACTTTGAGGGCTTTTGAGAAAGAGACTCTGAGGGGGCATCTATCAGTCCCTTAAACATTTAGATTATGCCAGTTTCATTACTATAACTAAAAATCAATTTTGAAAAAAATTGTAAAGGATATCTAGTGAAGATTCTTTATGTAAATTTTGGGTGTAAACAAATCTGTTTTACAAATATATGAATGTGCAGTTACAAAATCAAACACTGGAATGATTAACCTCAGGATGGTTGTGTGAGCAGTGCTTTAGCTGTATTTAACATTTTTCAGAATGCTAACATTTGTTTATATTAAACATGGTCATTTTCAGTTCTTTTCATTTATTTGAAACTGTAATTTAAAAACAAAGTTACCAGTGTGAAATAAAATGGCTGTCTACTGAACAGTTAAGCACACTGATAGAGATGGGCTTCCTAAGATTTCAGAGGTGTCCAATAAAACTAGTGCAGCATCTTATACCAACCAGGTCAGGCACACATATCCTTATTTTTTAAATAACAGAACTCTTTCAGTAGCAATATTCTAAAAAGTTTTAAAAGTAATGATGCTTGATCTCATAGCAAGCTTCACTCATTTATCATTTTTTGTTCAAAGCTATCATCATCCTGATCAAAAGTGCCAAAGCATCCTGAAGTTTATTCACAACCAAAGACTTCAAATATGCTTGCACAAAGTAACGTGACCTTGACCTCGTTTGTGTAATCACCACACAGCTGTTCTCAGATAATTCTTCCTTTTGCTTCACAAAATCAACCAAAGCACAACTAAGATGTACCAAAGAACAGTTGTAGAGAACTCATATTTGTTTATCTGACAGTCTCAAACAAGATCTAGCCTAAGATTAAGATACAGTAAAACTGCTTAAAATGAAGCTTTGTTTGTAAATCTCCATACCATCTAATATTTAAGAGACATCATTACAAGCTAAGGAGTTTTCTGGCATAATTTACAAATGAATTCACCAATTTAAAGGTACAGTTCGGTGAGTTCTGACAAGTGCATACATACAGTCTTGGAACTATCACAGCCACAATAATGAATTTTTATCACCCCCAAAAGTTCTCTCATACTCCTATTAACCCCCTTTACCACCACCACTACTCATCCATCCACTGTCATTACCTTTTCTAAAACTGCATTAAATGGAATCATAAAGAATGTAGATTTTTTGTGTCTTGTTTCACTCAGAAAATGCTTTTGAGTTTCATACATGATGTTGCATCAACCAGTAATTCCTTCTTTTTTTATTAATGAGTTAGTATTCCATTGTGTATATATAGTATACACCACAATTTATTCACTTTTAGTGGACATCTAGATAATTTCCAATGAGGGTGGCTGTAACAAATATTCAAGTACAAGTCTGTGCAGGTGGACACATTTTCATTTCTCTTGAATACCCAGGAGCGGAACTAGATGGCCTGATTATATGGTAAGTACGTGGCTTTATTCTGTACAAAACGGCCAAACCATTTTCCAGAGTAACTGTACATTTTGCATTGAGACACATCCTTCTGCTGACACATCTATGCCAACACCTGATATCATCAGTTAAAGAACTGAAGAATTTTGAATGCTACTGCCTGCCCTGTTTTTCACATCTAATGATACAACTATGTCATCTAAGCCTCACTATGCCCTCAAATGGTCTAATACTGGCAACGTGATCAACAGTGTTATGCAGTGAATGATCCAATTTAACTTGATCAAAATCTCAGCAGCTCAAAGTAGCAAACAGCTAAGTGCAAGCCTCAAGCTCAGTTTATCTCAGTTCAGAGGTAAGTGCAATTTAGAAGCTGATAACCAAGAAATCTCCCAGATTCAATAATCCACAATTCACATTTCTAGCTCAGCCTACATATTTGGCTGACTTAAGCTGCTTCCATACCAGCTGGATAAAAGCCTCCATACATCAATAAAGTACGTACGTCTTCTTGGTCTTAAGCTACTTAAATCTAGCCAGCTCTTATCAAACTAAAAAGTGACATCTTACTCCAAGTACGTGTAACATCTGATATTATGCTGCCAACAAAATATACTGGTCTATTAAAGAAAGTCAAATATAGGTTCACTAACATCAGCTGCACATTCCAGTTTTAATCACACAGCCTTCATATTTGGCTTATGAAGCACAGATTAAATTTGCAGGAAATCACTTAAGAGCAAAACATGTAGTTATCTTCATGACAGTGTATACTACAAATGGTTGTGGTAGATCCCTTTTCAAAATTCTTAATAAACTACATCACCCTTTTACTATACAGTTAATCCTTGAACAACGTGGGGGGCTTGGGACACAGACTCTTTTCCCACAGTCGAAATCCACGTTAACTTATAGTTGGTCTCCATATCTCAGGCACGGTTCCTCCACATCTGTGGTTCCACATCCTTGGATTTAACCAACTTTGGATTATGTAATACTATAGTATTTACTACTGGAAAAATCCACATGTAAGTGCACCTGTGTAGTTCAAACCCACATTGTTCAAGGGTCAACTATAAAATACTACTAAGACTTCCTTGCACTGTACTAGGTTAAGTGAAAGTCAGTATTAGCAAACTTATGGCTAATGGCACTTTCATTCCCAAATCTAGTAAATACCATTGATATTGCTAATAAAATTCTTTTCCATAATAGGCAGATTATCAATGAGCCAGCACTTATTCCTTTGGAATATTTAAAACCCTAGATAAACGTGGAAAGGCCTGGACTGAGAAATAAAGCCTGTTTTACAACTCTTAGTTGCCAATGATTACTTTAAAAACCCTGGACACAAAGAACAAGGTCAACAATATAAACAGGAGAAAGCAGTTGATGGCATAAAAAAATAACAGTTGATGATAATAAGAGAAACAGCAACAAGATGGGACTGCAGGCAAAGGGAAAAGGAATTAGAAGCAACTAAAAATGTGTTTAAAGAAGAACCACAAAATGGGGGGGGCAGGGTCCTTCTAGAGTCCATTAAGATGTCTAAAAATCTGTAATATGGGAAACTAAACTTTTGCTCCAGACCTGTGTGGACTTACTGTTTTCCTCCTGACATAACTACTAGATCAAACATTAAGGTTTCATGAATACTTATAAGTTTAGGTGTGTAAGACCCTTTTGTTATCACCTTACATGCTAATTTCTCTATGGAATATCTTTGAAAAAACAAGACAGAAGTTCATCTAAACAGCTCAAACAAGAGGATTAAAAATAAATCCTGAAAGTCTGTCAGTTCTAGGGAAGAACACAAATTAAATGGAAGACCTGTACACAATTAAGTATAGAAAATCTGCAGTAGCTATTAAGACCTAAAACTGAAACTGTTCCAAATAAAATAACAGACCAAACCTAGAGCTCTGAACTACATACCAGACACTGCCATGTCTACTTTATAAATTAAAACACACACAATTAATTTTTGCTCTGGAGACCCATCACTGTAATTCAACTATTCTGCCAGACCTTCTGATCAGAAACTAAAATAATTCTTATGGACTCCTTGAGGGAACCTTAAGGACAATGTTCATATCCAGCCAAGAGATATCTAACTAAAAAGAATGAGGTGATGCCATTTTAAATTTACTTTAAAATTATTGCTATGTCAAAGGAACTTGGAATCAAATTTTAACCCAAGATTGTCCAGTTATGTCCACAGCTTTAACTTCTATTTGGATTAGCATGAATCCTAATAACCATAAGATAGCTGCACACACATCTAAACACCAGAGTACTGGCTACAGTACTTTAAAAGCAACTGGCTAGATTCTAAATTTATGTTATATAATATTTTACTGTATAGTAGGCATTCATTTATCTCCTACAAGAGGAAGAATAATCACTACAGCTCAGATTCTATTATTTCACTGGTGCTGTAATAGCCAATGATTACTTATTTGAAATAAATGTTTCAACTTGTTAAAACCCTTCAGGTCTAAGCTACAAATCAACTGCAATAATGCAAGGAG